ATAACGAAAAATAATAACTTTTCCTTCTTACTTGCTTACCGGTACCCTGATGGTCTATAGGGGTGTCCCCCCTACTCTGAACCCAATATCCAATTTAAACAATTAATCGGTCATCTCCATACCCCATCTGGTAATGGGCGCCAAACATTCTATCGTATCGATACCCCGTCTGGTATAAGATTGAACAATATCTCATAAACCTTTCTGGTAAGAGAATTTCCAACCTCGTTTGACTGAGATAATGTTCACGGTAGAATTTTCTATGTACCGAACTCATTCGTCTTTTTCCTAGGTATCTAGTAACTCTTTCACATAGAGATTCTCATCAACAAAATAATCAACCACGCAAACCACTATATCATATTATATTTACATATCAATTAAACTACGTTCATGCTAATAGTACATAGCCGAATAAACCAAATAAATCGATAAAGTTATAGAAAATATAAATTTAGAATATGCACCATATAATAACAAACAAATAGAGTAGTATAAAAAAATAACAAAAAATCAAGATAATCGTGAACTAACCGGTTCTGACTCCACTAGTGACATGTAATTATTTTGAGACCTCTCTAATTTTTCATAAAAATACGAAATTATACAATGTTAAGTCTCAATTTACCGTAACGGAGAATAAAATGAGAGATCCTTATCCAGATCGGCGTTTCGAGACGTTGCGTTGTCTACTACGCCTCCTAACAGGTACCAAATTTCCTGAATTTTTTCTGTGAAATTCAAAACACTCGTCACGTACTTAAAAATACTCCAAAAATCCAAAATCGATGCCCAAAACTCTTTCTGGCCGATTTTGGGATTCCGGCACAGTACCGGCTCTGCCGCCCATGACGATAGTTTGCTTTGGCCTTGCCATTTTTGGTTGATTTTGATTGATTTTAGCCAATTTTACACAAAAAAACATGTTAGGGGCATCGGTTGGCCAAAAAATCACTAAAAACACTAAACATGCCGGTGGGGGATCATCAGATGCGGCGGTTCCATCGGTCCTTCTTCACGGCTGGAGTTCCTTTTTTGGCTAACATGTATAGAAAAAGACAGTAAGCACAATAATAAAAAATTTACGTGAAATGGGAAACGAAAAGAGGCTCATCGGAGAAATTTTTAAGTTTTGGTCGTGGCAGCTCCGCTGGACTTTGCCCCTAGTTTTCAGCTCACCCATCATCGCTCTTACTCTGATTTGGCTACATGGATGCTCGGAATTGAATTCCGAGTAGGCAGGAGAAAATTTTTACCTTTTTTTGGTAGTCAACGGTGGCTCTGGGACGACGGCGATCGGTGGTCGGTCTCCTTCTCCGGTGCCTGGTTCTTCTTCTCCGGCAGGGATTGACGGCTAGGGTTTGGATTCTATATGATACAAAATATTTATACTCATCCACGTCAATCTGGACCGTTCATCGTAATTGATCTTGTCTGTCCAATCGCGCTTAAAAAGAAAATAAATTTGAACCGTTCATCGCGATTGATCTCATCCATCCGATTGCGCCTAAGGAGGGAACGAATCTGAGCCGTCCATTCGTGCGGGATCGATCCTAGGTCGTCTGATTGCAGGCCATGTGGATCGCCCGTGTGGCACCAATGCCAATGTGCCTTGTCACACGGTGTGCTCCAGTTTATTGGGGCTGCTGATTGGGCGATCTTACATGGCCGAACGTTTTCTATTTGCATTTTGACCATCTATTTCTAATTTTTCTTTCAAAAATACTATTCGAACCCAAATTTTTATCTATTTTTTTCAAAATTATTTTTGATTACATCCCTAACATATTTTTCTTTTAATAATTTAACAAAATTAATTTATAAATAAATTTATTTATTTATTTTTAAATTATTAAAATTGATCCCGAACAAAATTCTTAATTCGGATATTACAAGAATTATGTCTAAAAATAGTTAATCATTACACTGGAGTAGTATGCATAAATTATGGCATTGCTGCAATAGAATCATCTCTCAGCACACTTAGTACAATTATAAAAGAAATTCAATTATGAATACAATTGAAATCTTAATCCTAAATTCTTTGAACACAATTGGATTATGAATACAATTGCAAACTCTAAACTCTAAACATTTAAAGTTTCAAAGCTTCTAATTCCAAACATTATGAATTAATGTAATAAAAATCATACTTGCTAGCATCTCAATTTTGGGATCATACTGGTACAATATATATTATAAATTTTTAATAACCATCTTAATTTTGAGATCAGATTTATCACTATTTTATATCATATATAATTACATAATAATAATAATAATAATAATAATAATAATAATAATAAACATGTTGTTTAAAATAAATTATTTTTTTATCTAAATATTTAAGCTTATAAATAAGTTAAACTTATAATTTAGAGTAAACTACAAAAATATTATATCAAAGTACATACAAATATTACATTAAAATTAAAAATTTGCACTAAGTAAAGATTAGCCTTAAGTTTTAAATTTTGAAGCAAAAACTGAAAATAAATTTTATACGTTATGTCTCTATCAGTAGTGATAAATTATTAATCGGTATGTACATATTACAAAAGTTTATCGTATATTTCAAGAATCGGAAAAAAAAAAGGACATTTAAAATGTGAATAGACATTACCTTATAAGAAAATTTTGATGCTTAATTGTGAACCAATGACATGATAGAATTATACAAAACAAGAAGTCTCCTTTTTGAGGTTGCAACTGCTTTGATGATGAATTTAACTTTAGAATAGTCATAAAGTTACTGTCTCTATTGGTTTTGGAAACAAATTGAATCATCTACTTCCCCTCATAATCACTTTTTACAGCTTGCAAAAAAGCTGACTTATTCCTACAAGTAACTTCTTAGGAGTATGAATGAATCATGTGCAATGCTCTCAATACTTTATCTATATTAATAATTTCTTTTCTGTTTTCTCTTTAATATAAATATAAAAACTAAGTATACTTACAAATTTTTAGATTTTAATTATTAATAAATTAAAAAGTTTTATATTTTAATCCAAACAATTAAAATCCCAGTACCCACAAATTTAAAGAAAAAATGAATTCCAAAAATTTAAATACCAAGTTTTGTTTTATGTGTTTTTACTAGAAATTATGTCATATATATTATCGTTAGAATGT